TTTCATTCAATTCTATAAAGTTTTCATTTTCTTCTTGATTTTGTCTTGATCCGTTCCCAGTTCCTCCTCCCTCCTCTCCTTCCACTCTCCTCTCCTTTCCCCCATTTCACCTCCAATCCATTCCTCCGAGAGGGTGAGGCCTCTCCTAGGATGTCAACTAAGTCTGTCCTATCACCTCATTTAGGCAGTACCAAGGCACTCCCCCCCTCCCGTGTCTAGGTTGAACAAAGTATCTCTCCACAGAGAATGGGTTCGGCAAAGTCAGTTTGTACATCGTAGTTATATCTTGGTCCCACTGCCATCGGCTTCATATACTGCCCAAGCTACACCATTGTCGCCTGTATTAAGAGGCCCTAGTTCAGTCCTATGCCAGCTCCCCAGCCTAGTGCTGAGTCAGTGATCTCTCACTAGCTCAGGTCAGCTAATTCTGTGGGTTTCCCCATCGTGGTGTTGACTCCTTTGTGTGTTTTATTGCTCCTCCCTCACTTCGATTGTACTCTGGGAGGTTTGCCCAATGGTTAGTTATAGATCTCTACATTTGCTTCCATCTGTTTCTGGAAGAGGGATCTAGCTTTTCTGGGGTTGTGGATTGTAGGCTAGTTATACATTGCTTTATGTCTGGTATTCACTTGTGAGTGAGTATATTCTATAGTTGTCTTTGTGGATCTGGGTTACCTCACTATGTATGTTTTTTTCTAGTTCTGCCCGTTTGCTTGCAATTTTAAAGATGTCATCATTTCTCACCATTGAGTGGTACTCTGTTGTGCAAACACCCCATTTTCTTTATCCATTCTTCAGTTGAGGGGCATCTACGTTGTTTCCAAGTTCTGGCTATTACGAATAATGTTGTTATGAACATAGGTGAGCAAATGTTCTTATGGTGTGAATGTGCCTCATTTGGGTATATGCCCAAAAGTGGTATTGCTGGATCTTGAGGTAGATTGATTCCTAGTTTTCTGAGAAATTGCCATACTGATTTCTACAGTGCCTATACAAGTTTTCACTCCCACCACCAATGTAAGAGTGTTCCTTACCCCACATCCTCTCTAGCATAAGCTGTCATTGGTGTTTTTTATCTTAGCCATTCTGATCAACATAAGATGATCTCAAAATTGTTTTGATTTGCATTTCCCTGATGATTAAGGATGTTGAGCATTTCCTTAAGTGTCTTTCTACCATCTGAGATTGTTCTGTTGAAAATTCTCTTTTTAGAACTGTACTCCATTTTTAAATTGGATTATTTGGTAGTTTGATTTCTAGTTTCTTGAGTTCTTTGTATATTTTGGAGATCAGCCCTCTGTCAGATGTGGGGTTGGTGAAGATCTTTTCCCATTCTATAGGCTGCTGTTTTGTCTTGTTGATCATGTCCTTTGCCTTATAAAATCTTCTCAGTTCCAGGAGGTCCCATTTATTAATTGTTGCTCTTAGTGTCTGTTACAATTAGGAATTGGTCTCCTGTACCAATGTGTTAAATTGTATTTCCCACTTTCTCTACTATGAGGTTCAATATGGATGGATTTATATTGAGGCATTTGATCCATTTGGATTTGAGCTTTGTGTATGGTGATAGATACAGATCTTTTTTGCATCCTTTTGCATGTCAACATCTAGTTATACCGGCACCATTTGTTGAATATGCTTTCTTTTTTCCATTTTATGTTTTTAGCTTTTTGTCAAAAATCAGATGTTCATAGGTATTTGGGTTAATATCAAAAGTCTCAATTCAATTCCATTGGTCCACCTGTATGTTTTTATGCTAATACCAAGCTGTTTTTATTACTGTAGCTCTATAACAGAGCTTAAAGTCAGGGATAGTGATGCTTCCAGATGGTTCTTTATTTCACAGGATTGTTTTGGCTATCCTGGGTTTTTTGTTTTTTCCATATGAAATTTAGTATTGTTCTTTTGAGGTCTGGGAAATATTTCCATTTTCTGATATCCTCTTTAATTTCATTCTTCAAAGTTCTTGTCATATAGGTCTTTTACATATTTGCTTAGGGTTACGCCAAGATATTTTATGTTATTTGTGGCTATTGTAAAGGGTAATATTTCTCTGTTTTTGTTGTTGTTGTTGGTGGTGGTGGTGGTTTTTTTTTTGTTGTTGTTGTTTTTCTCAGCCCATGCATCATCTGTATATAGGTGGGCTACTGATTTTTTGTTGTTGTTGTTGTTAACCTTGTATCCTGTTACATTATTGAAGGTGTTTATCAATTGTAGAAGTTTCCTGGCAGAATTTTTGGGGTCACTTATGTATGTTATCATATCATCCATAAACAGCAAAAGTTTGACTTCTTCCTTTCGAATTTGTATCCCCTTGATCTCATTTTTTGTTTTACTGCTCTAGCTAGAACTTCAAGTATTATACTGGATAAATATGGAGAGAGTGGACAGCCTTGTCTTGTTCCTGATTTAAGTGGAATCATTTTGAGTTTTTCTCCATTTAGTTTGATATTGGCTTGCTGCATATTGCCTTTATTATGTTTAAGAATGTTCCTTGTATCACTGATCTCTCCAAGACTTTTATCATGAAGTGATGTTCCATTTCATCAAAGGATTTTTCCACATCTAATGAGATTATCATGTGGGGTTTTTTTCCTCAGTATTTTTATAATATGGATTATTTTTGACGGATTTTCCTATGTTGAACCACCCTGCATCTCTAGGATAAAGCCTACTTGATCATGATGGATGACTTTTCTGATGAGTTCATGGGTTCCATTTGTCAGTATTTTGTTGTGTAGTTTTGCATTTATGTTCATGAGGGAAAACTGGTCTGTAATTTTCTTTCTTAGTTGTGTCTTTGTTCTGGTAGAACTCTGCACTGAAGCCATCTAGATCCCGTATTCTTCTTTCTTTCTGTCTGTCTTTTTCTTTCTTCTTTCCTTTTTTTTTTTTTTTTTGGTTGGAAGCCTTTTGAAGACTGTTTCTATTTCCTTAGGGGTTATATAGGTACATTTGATTTTTGATGTTATTTAATGCCAATGTTCTCTATTCAGTTTTTATCTGGATGACCTATCTATTGGTGTGAGTTGGGTATTGAAGTTGCCCACTATAACTGTGTGAGGGTCACACAAAATCACTTTATGTGATTTTAGCTGTAGTAGTGTTTCTTTTATGTACTTAGTGCCATCATGCTTGGTGCATAGATGTTTTGATTGGTGGTTTTTACTTTAACGAAGAGGTTGTGTTCTTCCCTCTCTTTTGAATGTTTTGGGGTTGAAGTCTAATTTTTCAAATATCAAAAAAAGTACATTTGCCTGATTCTTGGTTCCATTTGCCCGAAATATCCTTTTTCCATTCTTTTACTCTGAGATGAAGTCTGTGGGTAGTGGGGTGTGTTTCTTGGACACAACAGAAAGATGGGTCATGTTTTCTAATACAATTATGAGTTTTTATCGGGAAATTGAGGCCACTGAGTGAAAAGCATTTATTAATTCATGTTATTTTGTGATTTGTGTGGGTTTTTCTCCCCACTTTTGGCTAACTGTTCTGGAATTATTTATTTCCAGTGTCCCCTTATATGTAGTAAACCTTCTTTTCTGTAGCGCTGAATTGGTGGACAGAATTGTTTAAATATGCTTTTGCTATGATACCTTTTCTTTTGCTGTTGATCTGGTTGATAGTTTTGCTGGGTATAGTAGGCTGACCTGGCACCTGTGTTTCCTAGAGCTCATAGAACATCTATCCAGGCCTTTTTGGCTTACCTTTATATGTGACTTGGCCTTTTTTCTTTGTAGAATTTAAAATCCTTTCTTTGTTCTTACATTTTCTGTTTCTATTATGTGACATGGGTAGTTTCTTTTCTGGGCCTGTCTCTGGTGTTCTGTTTGTCTCTTGATAGGCAACTTTCTTTAGATTGGAGACATTTTCTTCTGTGATTTTGTTCAAAATATTTTCTGTAACTTTGACCTGGGATTCTTCTCCTTCTTCTATAGTTATTAATCATAGGTTTGGTTTTTTTTTTCATAGTGTTTCATTTCTTGAATTTTTATTTATTAATGTTTTCCTTGACTGGTCTGGACATTTTCTTTAAGGCCTGAAATTTTCTCTTCCATGTCTTCTAATCTGTTGGTGGGAGTTACTTCTAAGGTTTTCATTTGAGTTTTTCATTTCCTGTTTTGTTTCAGTTTAGGATCCTTTAGTGACTCTATTTCTTTGTTAAATTCTACTTTCACACCTTGAATTGTTTTCACTATACCATTCAACTGTTTGCATTTTCATGGATTTTATTAAGGCATGTATTCATATCCTCTTTAAGACCTTTAAACATAGTCATAATTGCTATTTTGAAGTACTAGTCTTGTGCTTCAGGCAAATTGCTTTGCTCAGGACTTCTCGCAATAGAGTTGTAGTCTTCTGAAAGAAGCATACTCTTGTGATTGCTCATATTTGTATTTTTACCCTGGGACCTAGGCATCCGGAGTCATGGCATATGAAGTGTTTCTTGGTATAGGTATCCAGTTTCATCTTTGTTGGGCAAGTGTTGTCTTTGGTTACTCTGTCCACTCTGGTTCCTAGTCAAGTGTGGTAGCTGTGGGATCCTTGAATCAGTCAAGTGTCACAGCTGTGGATCCCTAGCAGAGTGAGGTTCTGTGGATCAGCAAAGTTACAAAGGGCTAGAGATGAGCTAGAAGGGAAGGCCAAACATGGAGGCCAAGAAGAACCAGTTGGACCCTGGGTTATGGCTAGATTTCTTATCTTCATTTTATTAGCTAGTGAGTATAGAACATATGATAATTGAAAAAAACTTAGATGTCATGCACCAACCTCTGAAATGCACTTAATGGACAGTATGTATGTAAATATTATGCTTTAAAGAAGCCTACATACTGTGTGTTATCCCAGAAGGAAAAGCAGGACCCACTTCAAGACTTTCAGCCTGTATGTATGATTAAGGCCTAGAGCAGCTATGTAACAGTTTTGACAATGACACAGATTTTAAATTTTTAGGTGGGTGAAGATTAGGTTTTACTCTAGTAATAATATACAAAGAAACATACCTCATGTAGACACCGGAAAGCTGGTGTTTCAGCTAAATCGACAAGCCGCTCCTCTCGAATATTAATTGTGGGCACTATGACAGAGGGGAGTTCCTCCTGGCCCTTTTTGTGCTGCTCCTTTTTTGTTTTTGCTGCTGCTGCTTTCTCCTCCCCATCTTCGTTTTCATCTGTGTCAGTGTTACTGTCTTCCATTTTTCACAATTCTAAAATAAAATCAGTTCATAGTCAACTAAAATAAGTCAGTCTGTCTATCTGCCTACCTGTCTCTCTCTTTCTTCCTCTCTGGAACAAAGCCCAGGCCTTGAGCATGCTATGCAAATTCTCCACTACCTCCATATACCCTCAGCTCCATATGCCATACATTCAGTCTATTGATGCATTGAGAAAGAAAAATATATAAATAGGTTTCTTCCATGAGAAGAAACTAAGTTTCTGAGTATAGTAGGCACTTAAGAATTATTTATTGAATGGACAAGTATAACTTTTCAATTAAAATGTACAATAAAAAACTAGGGGCTAAATCCCTTGCTCCAAGCAATAGGGTAAGTTCTGGTCTCCAGGAAGCACACCACTGCAGGGTGGGCATGGCCAAATGTTTATAATTCCAGCCAAGGGAGGCAGAGTCTGGACATCCCCAAGTAAGTTGGCTATGAGAGGCTAGCCAATCAGCGATCTCCAGATTTTATTAAGAGACCCTGCCCCAAAGGATAATGTGAAGAATCAATCAAAGAAAATTCTGGATATCAACCTGGGGCCTCCACATGAATACTATCCCCCTCATGTGAATCTATATACATACAAACTATTCATAAATGTATTTCCTAAAATTATTAGCAGTGACTTTTGAAAATATAAACCAACAGCCAGCTTGAGATCTGGGCATGGGAAGGGTGAGGGGAGAGAGAAACGGGTTCTTAGGAAGCCAAGCAGAGGAACAGGCACAGTATTCTCAGCAGGATTAGAACATGTCTAATCTCCAACAGTTTTTCCAAGGAGCAAAAGGACTGTAATAAGAAAATGGATCACACATGACTATGGGCAGGGCCTCTCTAGCTACCTACTAAATTAATCACACTTTGCTTTCTGATACTACTATAGCATGTAGTTTGTCAATGCTTCTGTAGCCACACTTAAAAATACTGTATTATTATTTATTATGTTTAATATTGTCTCTTGTTGTGGAACATTAGTTTAAGACATGTCACATTTATTTATACTGTGGAATAGTTGCTTAATGAGGCAAACATGTGTTGAATTCTTTTATGTTGCATCCATTTAACTCTATAAAACTGTGTTACTTTGCCTACCTAAAACACCTGATTGGTCTAATAAGGGCAATAGCTAGGCAGGAGAAGGATAGGTGGGGCTGTCAGGCAGACAGAATAAATAGAAGGAGAAATCTAGGATAGAGAAAGTGAGGAGTACTAGGCAACAAAGCAAACCTCAACAGATACAAAAAAATTTGGAATAACCCCCTGGATCTTATCAGATCACCATGGTTTAAAGTTAGAGTTCAACAACTACACAAATTGCAGAAACCCTACAAACTCATGGAAAGTGAACAATGCTCAATTGCACCATTCCTGGGTCAAGGAAGAAATAAGGAAAGAAATTAAAGACTTCCTAGAATTCAATGAAAATGAAGACATAACATACCCAAACTTATGGGACACTTTGGAAGCAGTGCTACGAGGGAAGTTCATTGCACTAAGTGCCCACATGAAGAAATTGGAGAATAGTCACACTAGGGAATTAACAGCATACCTGAAAGCTCTAGAACAAAAAGAAGCAAACTCACCCTGGAGGAGCAGACTCCAGGAAATAATCAAATTGAGGGCTGAAATCCATAAAGTAGAAACAAAGAAAACAATACAAAGAATCAATGAAACAAAGAGTTGGTTCTTCAAGAAAAACAACAAGATAGAAAAACCTTTATCCAAACTAACCAAAAGGCAGAGAGAGAGCATGCAAATCAGCAAAATCAGAAATGAAAAGGGGGGAATAACAATGGACACTGAGGAGAATGAGGAGTGAGAAGAGGAGAAGAGGCTCCGCCCCCCTCTTCTCTAGGGCCAGCTATACAGTCAGCCACAGAGTAAGAAGGAAAGAAAGGTATACAAAATAAAGAAAGGTAAAAAACTCAGAGGCAAAATGTAGTTAGGTAGAAATGAGATGATTTAAGGTAGAAAATCTGTCTAGAAACAAGCCAAGCACAGGACAGGCATTCTTAAGTAAGAATAAGTCTCCGTGTATTTATTTGGAAGTTGGGTAGTAGGCTCCAAAGAGGAAAAAAGAACCAACTACAGTCTCCCTAATTATACTCCTTAAACAGGAAACTGCATTTGCCTAGGTATCTTCAACACCCAGAAAGTAATACACAGAATAGAAGGTGTACCAAACAATCCCGCTAGTCTTCTCATTTTATAACTGCACCTTGAGTTTTCAGATGTGAAATGCTAATACTAAAGCAATGAAGCAACAATAACTCATTCATTAATTTGTCCAAGGGGGAGTTCCAGTGGATCAACATTGCAGCTCTTCCCTGGTTCCTGTCACCAGCTTGGAAAAGCTTCCCCCAGACCATACCAGCAGGCCTCCTTGACGAGCTGCCCAATGCAGTGCAAAAAGGAGATGGGGGATATAAAAAACAAGAAAATTTTACTATGAAAATTAGCCTAAATATATAATTTACCACATTTAACAATGACATATGAAAACAAAATAAATACAGACATGAATTTCAAGAAAATATTATATAATAATTTTATATAAATTAAATAATAGTGTAGTGACATTTTGCCTGGTAATAAGATTTTTGTGACATATTCAACACTAAGTTCCCTTTTAAAAGGGCCAGGCCCATCTCCCATCTTTCCCCCCTTCTCTGCTTCTCTGCCTGTCTCTCTATCTCTCCTTCTTCCTCCCCCCTCTCTTCTTCTGTTCCTGTCCCCAGAGACCTTCTCCCCTCCCCTCCCCACTTTTCTCATTTACTTTCCCCTAATAAAAATTGCTCCACCCAAGCTCTGTCAAATGGTGTCTTTCTTTCTCTCACATACCATTTTTTTTAATTACAAGGAATTACAAGGAAAAAACACAATGAAAAATGTTCTTCCTTGTTAATTCTTAGCTGAATGACAAAGATTCATTTCTGTCAAATTCAATAACATTGACATTTAATTTGTATGTCTAAGTGTGTAATACTGTGGTAGTTTTCAAAACTGGAGCTATTGAACCCCTAAGGGATTATGTTAACCTCCCATATTGTTTATTGCAACCTTTGCAGTTGCTTCAATTTTGTAATAATTTACTAAAATGTTTCCAGACTAAAATGTTTTCCGCTTGAGTGTTAGCAGCTCTGCCCTTAATGATGCCAATTTGTATCCGAGTCCTGGCCTAAGTGCCATAGGACTCCACAGTGCCCCAAATCACACTCAGGCAGGCAGCTGACACAGGCCACAGGGTCAATAGCTCAACACCCACACTGCTGGCCATAGCCACAGGCTCAGTTCTTTGCTTGTGCCCACTGCTGCATGGCGGGTTTCTCCAGTTCAAGTGTATGCTTGTTTGTCCCAACAAAACACAAGCTAAAAAAGATAATTAGTAAACATTTGAAGATGATGACACATGGCATCAAGCCAGGTATCTTCTGCTATACAATATACACAATTGCCTGGATCACATATCTAGGAAGGCAGATGTACATATCAGCCACTGATTTGTTCTAAGTAGAGCCGGAGCAGTTTGTAGGTGGACCCCTACAAGGTGCCACTGATCCCATGTAGAAGGCTCTGCCCTTCTGTAGAGAATGTGGAGAAGGTGCCTCCCCTGAAGGAAAGAATGCCAGTCTCATTAACTGTTCTTTTAATTCCAGAATTGCATGGATATGTTCTTAGTTAAAGAAACCATCCACATTAATACTCCTTTCAGAAAAGATACTGCCACTGTCTTCATTTTCAGGTCTTGCGATTGCTGGTCCACACCATCTCACGTCTGTCTTACGAGATTTGCTGAACTTGATGACAATGACACTTTGTCCATTCAAATGGAAGGCACACTGTTATATGAACCAGAAAGTTTGGGAAGGTTCTGGTTCTTGAATTTACTGGTCAAGTGGCCACAGACATATCATTATTCATTGAATTTTTTCCTCTGTCAAATGAAAATACCAATAGCTAAGTCATCTTATTTTAGAAAGCCATAGCTTTGAGCTTCTGCCTGGCCATTTCTAGTCATCTCCTGTCATAAGTTAGACATGTATTCATTTCCTTTCTCTGGCTACTGCAAGTTTCTTCATAGTTGGTAACATATGTTTTCACCAGGAACACCAGATTATCTGTGTTTATGTGATGTTAGTGGCTTCTGATATCATCTGGACTCCCCCTTAAGCACACACATTTGTTCATTGTTTAGAGTGCCATAAGCCACTCCTTAATGTAGCTGCACCATGAGGTATTAACATATGGGAAGTTTCCAGCTTTTTGCCTTTAGAAAAGCATTAGAAAGCACAGCACAACTACTTATTTTATAAGCCCCTGATTATAATGGCACTAATTGAAAACTGAAGTTGAGGCAACCTTCCCAAAGCATTGTACCCCCTTGGTGTGGGACTGTTTATGTAGGCTGGAGAGATGGCTCAGTGGTTTAGAGCACTTGTTATTCTTACAGAGGACTTGGTTTTGATTCCCAACACCTACAGACAGCTAAAAACTCCAGAGCATCCTGCACTGGGCATGCATTTGGTGCACAAATATGCATGTAAACACTCAAATTCAAAATTTTTAATTTAAAATATTTTAAAAGATGAATACTATGCTACATTTGGACAAATTTCCCATCTACTGAAGTTCTCCATCTTTATTCTCTTGAACATTCTAAATATTTGAATACAAGCAAAGCATTTCACATCATATAGTTGCACCATAACAGAGCTCTAGGAGACATTATCAGACAGACTTCAACATATGAGTTTCCCATGGGTATAAGGAAGGGTGTTCAACATTTCCCGTAATCAGGAGGAAACAGATCAAAAGGACAGTGAGGCAGCACCACACATCCACCAGGAGGCCTACTGAACAAAAGCCGAAGAAGATATAAGCTAAGTTTTTATACACTCTTAGCAGAAATCTAAATTGGTAAAATGATTATGCTACACACTGTGGACTTAATGAATTATAGGCAAATGGGCTTAGAGTCAGTGGTGTTA